AAAAAAAAAAAAAAAAAAAAAAAAGGACTGAGTAAATTCAGATTATTAGAGAGCACACCAAACTATACTGTAGTCCATAAGCCATATGTATATTACAGTTAATTTACTATATACATTGTATATAGTAAGGAACTTTAGTAAAAATTACCTTTATAGAAGATACGTATTTAATATAGAAAAGAAGTTTATTTATTTATTTATTTAATGTATGTGAGTACACTATCGCTTTCTTCAGACACAAAAGAACAGGGCATCAGTTCCCATTACAACACTAGTTGTGAGCCACCATGTGGTTGGTGGGAATTGAACTCAGGACCTCTGGAAGAGCAGCCAGTGCTCTTAACCGCTAAGCCATCTCTCCAGCCCAAGAAATTTATTTTTCACGTAAATAATGATGACTTTGATATTTTCTTTTTTCTTTTTCTGGTGCTAGGAGTTGGACTTGGTACCTTACACATGGCTAGTGCTCTGGTCCTAAGCTGTATTTCAAGCCTGATTTTATTCTTTCTGTTTCTAAAGATGCATTTATTTTTATTTTATGTATTTAAGTGTTTCTCCTGTATGCATGTATGCCTGTGGCATGTGTGTGTGCCTGTTGCTTGTGTGGTGCTTGTTGAGTGTGTATGTGTTGGATGTGTGTGTGCTTGTTCTATATGTTGGATGTTTGTGCCTTTTGAATGTGTATGTATAGCTATTAGATGTGTGTCTGTCACATATGTGTGTGCCTGTTACATGTGTGTGTGTCTGTCACATGTGTGTCTGTCACATGTGTGTATGCCTGTTGTACGTGTGTGTACCTGTTGGATGTGTGTGACTGTCACATGTGTGCAGTGCTTGTGGAAGTTAGAAGAAGGCATGGCATCCTGTGGGACTGGCGTTAGAGAGCATCACGAGCTGCCTTTGGATGCTGGGAATTGAACAAGGTTCTCTGCTACAGTAGCCAGCGCTTTTTATCTATTCTTTTAGTTTTTCATCACACGGATTCTCTCTGTAGACCAGTCTCTCAGAGACTCTTCTGCCTCTGCGTCCCAAGTGCTGGGAGTAAAGGCTGCGCCACTGCTGAGCTCCCATTTTTTTTTCTTTAACTGTTAAGTCATATTCTAGAGTGACATAGCTTTACACACCACTCTTCTACACACACACACATACACACACACACACACACACACACATTCATTTGTACATGTAATATTGTGGCTTTTGTTGTATTTTCAGACCAAAGGAGAAAATGAGAATTTTGGGAAGTATGGGAAAGTGATACCAGCCAGTGCTGTTATATTTGGAATGGCAGTCGAGTGTGCAGAGATCCGAAGGCATCATAGGTGAGTGGTTAGGAGAGTGAGCACTCAGGTGGGGGTGGGGCAGGGGCAGGGGCAGGGGCAGGGGCAGGGGCA